TTATAATGAGTAAACAGACATCACTTTCATCTTTTTTCATAAAACCTGTGGTAGTTAAAAATAATGAAAATGAAAAGACGGAATCAAATTCAAATGAACAAGAAATAAAGAAGGACGAAATGCCTAGAAAAAAGGTAAAAATTTCAATGAACTACACATATAAATACATTGATAAATATATTGGTTATGGGTTTACTTATATAAATGAAAACGGAGTAGATTTGCCACAATGTGTTATTTGCGGTAATGTACTAGCAAATGCTTCTTTAAAACCAAATAAACTTTTACGGCATCTTGAAACTAATCATAATGAATACAGAAATAAAACTACAGATTTTTTTTTAAGAAAACGTGATGAGTTAAAGATAAATAAAAAAAATATTAAATCATATACAACAGTTGACAAGGTGTATTTAAAATGTTCTTTTATTGCAGCTATGCATAGGTATTGCTAGGACAGAAAAGCCGTATAATATTGGTGAAAAATTAATTAAACCTTGCATGGTCGATATATGTTCAGAACTATTCGGTAATGAACACGTCTCAAAAATAAAAAATATCCCCATGTCAGATGACACTATTCATAAACGAATTCTTTGTATTGCTAATGATATCGAATATCAGCTCGTCGAAAAAATAAACAAATCTTTATTTTATGCCATCCAGTTGGATGAATCAACGGATATAAGCAATTCAGCTATATTATTAATTTATGTAAGGTACATTGATGATACATTTAACGATATAAAAGAAGAGTTTTTATGCACCTTAAAGTTGAAAACATTTACTACAGCAGATGAAATTTTCAAAACAATGAATAGTTATATGATATCTAAAAATATTAACTGGGCTTCTTGTATTGGGATTTGTACAGATGGCGCAGCGTCTATGACAGGGATACATTCAGGTGTAGTATCACGCGTTAAGGAAGTAGCACATGCACATCTAATTTCCACTCATTGCTTTATACATCGAGAACAATTAGCTGTAAAAGATATGGGTGAAAATTTCAATGATATTTTAAACCAATGTACAACAATTATAAATTTTATTCGTGCAAGAGCTATTAATTCTCGTATTTTTTCTGTCATGTGTAAAGAATTTGGTTCAGTTTATAATAATGTATTATTTCATTATCATATACGTTGGTTATCACGGGGAAAAGTTTTAACGAGATTTATTGAATTAAGGACTGAAATAGAAGTATTTTTAAGAGAAAAAAATTCACCGTTATCCGACCATTTTCAAGATACAATTTGGTTGGCAAAAGTTACGTATCTTTCAGATATATTATCGTTATTAAATGAGTTAAATTTGAGTATGCAAGGGCCATTAACTAATATTTTTACATGTTATAATAAAGTTGAAGCTTTTCTAAAGAAACTTGATCTTTGGATAAAACGAATTCAGGAAAATACATATATGTTTCCATCATATTATAATATGACTGAAGAAAAATTATTAAAAAAAAATGAAATTAATGTAATGCAATGTGTAATTAAAACACATTTGTCGAAATTAAAAAATAAATTATTTAAGTATTTCCCACCATCTCATGATATTCGATCAAACAATATGTGGATTCTTAACCCGTTTTTGCCCTGTGAAAATCATGAATTATCTTTATTAAATGAAAGCCAACTATTAGAATTATCGTCAGATAAATTATTAGAACAATCTTTTAACACTAAAAATTTAAACCAATTTTGGATATCTTTAAGAAATGAGTATCCTAATCTTTACGAAGAAGCATTAAAGAAATTAGTTCCTTTTGCAACAACATATTTATGTGAATCCGGATTTTCGACATTAACTACGATCAAAACCAAAGCAAGAAATAAGCTTGATGTCGAACCCACGATGCGTATTTCACTTACTAACTCTATAGAAGCTCAAATTGATTCATTGGTGAAGCAACATCAAGACCAAGGGAGTCATTAAGTTCTTCATTATTTAAAAAAAAATATTTAAATTAAAAATTATTTAAAAAAATATGTACAATACAATTATTAAAAGAAATGTTTATTTTTAAATATAATTTAATTAATATTATGACCTGTTATTAGTACAAGTAATATGAGTAAAAAAAAATATTAAATTAAGAGTACCCAATAGTTATTTTTTATTCTGCCATTGAACATTATTTTATAAAAAGGTCGCATGAAAAATTTGGTAAATATCTTGGGTCACCACTACACAAAGGTTAAGAACCGCTGATATAAAGCACAAGGAGGCAAGATGGGACATTTTATTAGGTGTAAGATGGGACGTCCCATCTTGTCCTCACTTGGTATTTACTATTTTGTAATAGTGCAATATCAAGATAGGTACTGATATTTTTAATCTCAAGTTTTCCTCATTAAATATTCTTTCTACATTTGTTGCCAAGCATTAATAATAGTTATATATTATGTTTAAATAATTATTAAGGTACCTATAATAAAGAAACATGGCAAAAATAAGGAAAAGAGTTACATCTAGGCAAAACTGGGATTCCGACTCAATAAACAATGCTGTTTTAGCCATCATCAATAAAAGTCAAACCTACAGAGAAGCATCAACATATTTTAATGTACCTAGAAGTACATTACTAAGAAAGGTAAATACCTATATTTTAATATTCTATATTACATTAGTCAGACATATATACTCAACTATATGAAAGCATAATATAGCTTTCCTATTATTATAGTGTTGAACATATAATCGGACTTGAGTCATTGTGGACAACGTCAGCCGTTTCACTGCGCCCGTTCGTATCGTATGTATTTATTTATCATCACTCTAACATTGAGTATTTCTTCTACTTTGTTTAGTGGCGTTGCCATTCCATGAGTTTGGTATGTCGTTTTTCGTACTCTATTTTTCATTTAAAAACAATATTTACTGCAGCATTTCTAAAAATAACACAAAACTACCCTAGTTGTGTATATCACCACTGATACCATATTGATATCAACATAATATTCGAATATTCGATTACAACGATCGAGATCATTTGGTTTTCAAATTTATGATGATTTAGTAATTATTATATTAATTAATTGATTGATACTCATTCGCATATTTTACTATATATTATTATATGCATTATATATATTTTAACCTTTTCAAGATGTTTTTATTAAATGTCATATATACAATTATACAATTATACGACGCTTTACAGGTTATTCAAAATGGTGAAACTATGTATGATCTATGGAAATGCGGATGATGAAAATTACATTTCAATGCACAGGTATTTACAATTTTACCCAACACATAATAGTATACAATACATATATTATTGAAAATAATTCAATAAAATACATGAATATATAATTATACATACATAATAATGAAACAAAAAGTAAATTACTTTGTTTTATCTAATTTTTATTTCAGTACATTAGTCTAATAAAATGTTCAAAATTGCCCCAGTTATTTTCCAAACATATTTCCAGTCGTCGAGTTACTTTTGTGAGTAGCTGACAAAATTATTTTAAACTTTCAAAACTCTGTTAGCCTGTAACTTGGTCAATTTTGGGTTTAGGATTATGGTCAATGGATCAAAATGTATTAGAAAAAAATTATCTACCCATATCTGGTGTCAAAAATAAGGGTCGATATTAAAAAAAAACATAAGTTGTATTGCGCATGTGAACCAAAGGAGATAAACATTTTAAATTGTCCCAAATTTTACACTTCGGTCCAGGGCCGGACTGGGCCACTGTGCTACTATTCTACAGCACAGTGGGCCGCGTGCTACTGTTAAAAAAAAAAAAATTATAAATACTAAAATATTAAAGTCAATCTAATTATGCAAGGGCTTATATTTTATGCCAATAATACGAATCAATACAAGTTTACTGAGCGTTAGGCAGTTGGTAGTATTATCACAAAAACGCAGTGGAATTGTGGAAATATTACAAAAATAAACACTGAATACAATATTATTATCGGCCTATTGTAGCCACAGATATATCTATATACCTACATTATATATGCTGCGATGGTGGCCGATGCAGTGGTAGTAGTGGTCACACTGTCATAGACATAATATAGAACATAACTCTATGGTAGTGGTTATTTTTTATTTTATAATTTATTTTGGTGGCTAAAAATAGTTTTATAGTTTTATTTCCCAATTTATTGATTACCTACCTAGATGATATCAATAATATTATAACCTAACATCATGTTTTATTTTGTAAAATAAAAAGAAAATAGTCTTGTATTCTTGTTATTCTTGTCCGGTGTTTTGTTGTGGTTACTATAAATGCTCGAAGTGATATATAAAATCCCGTGACGAGTGACGATATAGTGAACAACATCGAGTACGGTTAATACTTAAATTTATAAAAATGGAAAAGGTAAAAAAAAATCGTAAAGGAGGAGCAGAAAAAATTAGAGCCAAACGAATGTCTGAACTTAAGGCAGCAGGAAGTGATCCGAAACAAAAGAAATTGCAATTTTGTACAACTATTAACACACAAAATGGTACGTTCTTATAATATTAATTAAACTATAATATTTTGAATGGGTATGTTTTAGATAGTTAATGAATGTGTATGAAGTATTATAATTTATATTACTTTGACATTTTTAGATAACTTTAATGATGAAACATCAAAACAATTAGAAATAATAAATAATCCTACATCGACTAGTGTAAGTGTTAAAGTATATTATATAACACATTAAAATATTTTGCAAATGTTTAAAAAAACTATATATTTTTATTTCAATACCTATGTGTTGTAGACTATAGAATAGAAAACACTTATGCTTCTTGTTAGAAATAATTTATATTGAATTTATCTTTAAAGGATCCTGTGTGTGCTAGTACATCCACTGTGAATAATACTAATGATTTAAATGTCAATGACAGAAGTTTGGAATTAGTGATAGAACCTGATGATAAAGGAACAAATAATTTTCCATCATCTGATGTAAGTAGTTATAGCCAATTGTATTATTTACATTAGGTATATAAATAATATTTTTTTTGTAGGACATCTGTATTAATCAATTTAAACTTGATGCTAGTTCTAACATTTTTCAAAAACTCCAGTTTATTGAAAAAATCAACCCTAATCAACCTCCATGATTAACCAATGTACCGTGGGTTTTGCATAGAGTTTATAATAGAATTGATAGTAATGGAAAAAGTATCCCGAGAAAGTGGATTACAGTTGAGTGTATTAACTATGATGTAAAAGCCATTTATTGCACAATATGTATAGCATTTAGTATATCAAACAGTACAAGTAATTTTTGCAATGGTTGCACTAATTTTAAAAATATATATGCTGCTATTGAGTCCCACGAAATTAGTAAAGGTCATTCATCAGCTGTAGAAGCATACTTTTCAGCCAGTAATGAAAATAGTATCGAATTTGTTGTGAGTAGAGGTATGATGAACCATAGAAAAGAGCAAGTGATGGAACGCATTCATATTTTGGAACAAGTATTTGATATAATAAAATTTATTGGGAAACAAAATCTATCATATCGAGGATCATCTGAAGCATTATATGATATAGAAAATTCAAATTTTAACCATGGAAACTTTTTGGAACTTTTAAAGTTTACCGCAAAACACGATATGGTGTTAAATAAATATTTGTCTGCTGCTATTCAACGCAGTAAACAGCGAAAACCACATGTGGAATTAAATTCAAAAGGAAGAGGTGTTAATAACTTTGTTATCTAAAACTACAGTTAACAAAGTAATAGATGCCATACTATTAACCATGAGAAAAACAATAAAGAATGAATTGGGTGATCGTCAGTTTAGTATACAGGTAAACCAATTTAATTATTTAATTCCAACTAGGTAAATTAACTTAATTTTAATAATCATATACGATATACTTACAGGTAGATAGTACTCAAGACATAGGTACCATTGATCAGGCAGCTATTTGTTTACGCTATGTTTCTAACTCTCAAATAAAAGAACGGCTATTTAGTGTAGTACAAGTAAAAACATCATCAGGAAAAGGACTGTATGAATTACTCAAAGAATGTTTCTCTCAAAACGACATTAATTTTAAAAATATTATTGGATCTTCTTTTGATGGAGCTGCTAACATGCAGGGCGAGTTCAATGGATTGCGTGCTTTTATAAAACAAGAAAATCAAAATAGTGTGTACATTTGGTGTTATGCACATATTTTGAACTTATGTGTTTGTGACACATGCGAAAATTTGGCAGCTAAAAATTTATTTGGTTTATTAAATAGATTAGCAACTTTTTTTTCTGATTCATACAAAAAGATGGGTGTGTGGAAAGAAATTCAGGAAAAACTGACAACCGGTCAAAACAAACTGAAAAAATTACAGAAAATAGGTGAAACTCGTTGGTGGTCTCGCGAAAAAGCATTACTATGGATGTTTGACGGAAATGACTGTTTATATCCTATAGTGATAAATGCATTGGATTTTGTGGCAACATCAAAAACTTTTGACCCAAAATCTATTTCCGAAGCCAATTCATTAAAAGAAAAGTTGTGTCAATTTAATATTATAGTAACAGCTCATTTATTTCTTCCAATTTTCAAAAGTATTGGCCCTACTTCAACATACCTACAATCAAAGAATTTGGATATATTGAATGCTTTTTTAATGGTGGATAAGTGTATTGCTGACATAAGTAACTTAAAATTTGAGAATGTTCTTAAATCATCCAAAGATTTCGTTTTAAAAATGAATAATTCCCTTCACAAAATTGCATTAAATAAAGAGATATTTATTGAGAATGATTTTCCTAAAAACAGAAGAAGAATAAAAAAACTTATGTTTGATGAAGTTTGTGACGATGAAGCACCAACAGATCCAAAACAAAAATTTCGAGTAGAAGTTTTTCAATGTATCATCGACCAATTGCGAACCAGCCTAACTGAAAGATTTACTAACAATAAAAGTTTGGTTGCAGATATGCAATATTTATTGCCAAAACATTATAATGATATAAGAAATAAATTAATTCCTAAATCAGCATTACAAAAGTTATCACTATTATCATCTGTTGATCACTCAAAATTAATTGATGAACTTGAACACTTTGCTGGAATTTATGATAAAATTTCTAAACCATTATATAAAAAAACTGTTGATATCTATGACGAAAACACAAATAATGATGATGATAATTTAATTGTAACTGATATGGATTATGAAGATTTTTCTTTGGATTGGGATGATACTCATCTATCTGTTACAGGTAACTAAAAAAAAAATAAATTGTTTATTAAATATATCATATTTTAACCAAATTCAACTATAAAATATATTTATATGTTTTTATTCGTGTTAAGATATTTATATAAAGATTTTTTTTTTTCAGAATCTGAATGTGAACACTCTTTTATCCGTGATAAAAAAGGTATACATACCCGAGAGAATTGTTTGATTTGTGTTTTTAATTTACTTCATTCGCTTTATTTACATATGCCCACTTATTCTAATTTATATGCCGCCATGGAATATGTACTAACCTTATCGGTAACTCAGGTTAATTGTGAACGCGTATTTAGCAAATTAAAAATTATAAAAAATCGTCTACGCGCTTCATTATCTAATGACCGCTTAGATGCTTTTTTATTAATGTCTGTAGAAAAAGAAATATTAAATGATATAAATTTTGAAGATATTTTGGACATTATTAAAAACTCATCTCATACTTTATCTAAATTATTATCGTTCACATAATTACATAATTATAAAATCGAATTTGTCATACTGTTACTTGGTGTTACTGATTTATACCTATATGTATTGATATATTTTACATTTTCTTTGTAATCAACACCGACAAAGTTCCTAAATCCTAATTCTTATAAAACGTTGGTAAAGGTAGAAATACTATTGAGAAAAATGTAATATTGTGTTAGTTGGGCCCAGGGGCGTCATTTCAACTTTTTTTTTGTTGGTGCGAAAATGTTTGCAGGCCATTCAAATTGTTACCAGGCCACATAGAAAACTATTATTAAATTAAATTAACTTATTACATTTTTTTCTTTAGTGGGGGGGTCTAGTGGGGACAAAAACTGTAGAATATTTGTAAAATGTATTTAATACGTCACTTATATTAGTATGAAAACTTCACAATATTATTACTATTTTTGAAGAACTAAGTGTAGGTACTTTTAATAAGTTAATATTATATTATGGATGTCAGTTGTATTTGGTAAGCAAATTTATGGATATAAAGCACCTTAATAGTACTTAATCGAACTTAACCTATACATTTTTTCTCCCTGCACACTCAAAATAAATAATATAGCTAAACGCCTAAACCTGAAATTTGTATTATGGGTTACCTTGTTCAAAATGGCACAATATACTCAATTCATATTTCTAAATTTTTCCACATCAATTTTAATTTAACTTTAAATTAATAAATTTAACTAAATTTTAATTTAATTTATTATTATTATATAATATATATTATTAAGTATTTCACTTCTTTCTCGATAACGACTAGAACAATCGTACTCTCGACGTACTAATTAAAATTGGTGGTAGAATTTCTACCATAGAATATCATTTCTACCATAGAAAGTAAGTGACAATAAGGTTAAAAATGTAAACAAATAATATTCTGTGGTTGCTATTTTTAGACAATTTTTTCCCTATTAATGGGAATTATATATCATGTTGTTTTCTTATTATAACGAGTAGAGAGATACCAAAGCGTGATAAGAAATCTATACCAGCATAATATTATACCCACAGATTTATTATATATTCGATGGTAATAGTATCATGGTAGAGAATAAAAAAATATATATAACCCATAGACATAATTATATTATTATTATTTTATATTATGTCAATGATATAACCACACAACCACATCGATCATTTTTGGAAATAAAACCCATTAGTACCTATAATATTTATTATTTTTTTTTAAATACTGAAAAAATATAAAATATATATAATATATTAATATATAACACTTAGGTATATCGGCGCTTATATTTATTGTTGGCAGGCCAAAGAAGGCGTTTATAAAAAATGTTGGTGCAAATGTACACCCTGCACCCCCCCAAATGACGCCCCTGGTTGGGCCGTTAAATATAGTAAAATGGGCCGGTTGCATACAGAGAATAGTGGGCCGAAACCCTTCCAGTCCGGCCCTGCTTCGGTCCAACCTATCTATAACAGCAAACTGCTTTTAAATCGAAGGCCATCAGGCTGAGATATTTTGTGGTACATATAAGACGGGACACGCTGTATACCCATATCATAAAATATCACGGCTGGGCATTAACGAGTTAAAAGTTAATTTTATTTTAATAAAAGGAGGAGCATTAAACACTTGTTTACCGCTCCGCATATATTCATTCATTCACTTTCATTCTAAAAATCAACAATAAAACCAATTTATATAAAAATTAGTCATTTTAAATTTCTTTTTTAATTAACGTAAAATTGACGAATTCATTTTTCATTTTAAGTAGTAAGTTGCCCCTCTGTATCGTT